TGTGAGGTCTTTTACTCTTTTACCGTGTTTTGTTTTTATTGTTTACTTATGGAATTAGGATCTACGGGAAAGAGTTTGCTGAATATATTTATTATATATAGGTTATCAATTTATTGAATAAAAAATAAATAAAATATTGGTTATAATTATTTCACAATAGTATTTATTAAAAATTTTAACCTTTACATTAAATATAAGAATTAAGCATCTATATATGTTTATTGAACTAAAAATACCAATTTTTATTTTTTTGATATCTTTAAATACAAGTATATATATTATGTTCTTTTTATCACATTTATCACAGATAAATTAATCTTTTGATATTGTTTTTCTATAGCTATATAAACAAGTTTTTTATAGTTATCTTGCTTGTTTAATCATAACTAGTAGCAATATTTTGTTATCAAAAAAATATATTTTCACATCAACAAGTTAAACAAACTTATTATAAATATTTCAAAAAGCTGCAGTGTAATATATAAAATAAACAAATTATAAAAGCTATATATATACCTTAAGAATAGCTATATATAATTAGTTAATTATTTTTTTGTTTTAATATTAAACTTTTTAAATTTTTTAAAGGTTGATACTATAAACATGACGGCAATACCAGATGGTGAATTTAAATATATTATTCATATACGCGATCATTTTACAAGGTTTTCTGCGGCAGAACCTGCAAAAACAAAAATCTGCGATTGAAACAGCCTGTTTTTTTTTGCAATTTTGTTTAAAATATGGGCTACCATCTGTTTTACATTTAGATAATAGTGGAGAATTTGTTGGTAATGTTGTAAAAGAAACTATGAAACTCTGGCTATTCGTCAAATTTATATATAGACGACCAAGGTACCCCAATGCCAAGGATTCGTCGAGAAAGGTAATGATATTTTACAAACAAAGCTTGGGTCATAGATGGATGAGACTAAACGAAGCGACTGGAGTACTGAATTGCTATTTGTAATCTGTAAGTAAATTTAATATATATAATTATTTAATATTATAAGCAAAATTAAGTAATAATATACTGTATAATCATACATATTGATACATATATTGCTGCAGAGGCTATAAACAATCAAGTATGTAATGCAACAAAGACAACGCTGTATCAACTAGTATTTGGGCAGGATTCCCAAGCTGATTTACAATTAATTACAATACTTTATTAACAAAATATCATCAAAGAAGAAAATATTTCTTTGGAAAATCAAGCACCGACTGATCAGTCAAATTTAATAATTAATAATTATTGTATTAAATATTTTTTTATAATTTTTTATTATAAATATGGTATAGCAATATAATTTAATCATAATTTAATTTAATTTTAAAATTTCTTTATTTGCAGAAAGTGATATGAATATGATAATAATAAATGATGATAACGACATTAGCGATCTTGAATCTAGCATTTCGAATGAAGATAAAATGTTTATATCACGAGAAAATAGCTTTATGAATACTGATGTTGGTGTACAAAATTTATGGATAGAAAAGAAAAATGACGCACATCAAATCTAGATAATGTAAACTTAAATATCAATATCTGTATTACATATAAATTATAAAATAATAAATATATATGAGTGTTGGCAAAAGAAAATGTACCTATCTAAAAATAAATTATTACAAATTTTATAATAATCTATTTTTGAATAAGTATATTTTTCTTTTGACGATACTTATAATATTAACATTTAATTTTAATATATTCTATATAGTATGAAGTAGTAGATTTAACTCATGAAGGTTCATTATTTGAAGATTCAAGTCAGGCAAGCTGTTTCTATACATTAATTGAAGAGTCGGACCAGGAAAGCTATTCACCTGCTGAAGATTCGAATAAAGAAAGTCAAAAATCAATTAAAAGCCAATCACGTGCATACCTTGACCATCACAAACCCATACATGATATAGCAAAACATCATGTTGAAAAAAATCGTCAAATTATTTGTGATATTATAGAAAAACATCATAAAACTAAACATCATTTGATTTTTAATCTAAGAGACTTTGTTAAAATTAGAGTTCCAGATATTGATAAGCTAAAGTTGGATAGGCGTTCTTTGCCTTGTAAAATTATTTAAAAAAAGCCCAATCTTGATTCCTATCAGGTCAGATGTGAATTTGGAATTTTAGATTCATAGTTTTCAGCCAATGAAATAGAACCTCTAGGTATATTGTAATTAGGTTAAAATTGATTTAAGAGTTTAAATTTAAATTTATTTTTTGCCTACAACAGGTACAAATGAATACTCATTACTTAATATTATTCCACTGGGCAATTTTCTCTCTCTAAGAAATGCAGCTGCGTAGCAAAATTTAACATGCCCAATATGACAAGTACAAGGTGTTGAAGATGATCCATTCATCCAATCTCAAACCAATAATTAGGCAAAGGAAATGAAATCTAAAAAAAATGATAGTTGTCATTGTAGTAAAACCAACTGCAAAACAAAAAGTTGTTCATGCTGAAAAAATAATGCACTTTGTACCAGGTGATGTAGTTGTGTATTGAGGGGTGAATACAATAATTATTAATCATAGCCAATATTGGTATAGATGTATTTGATGCTTTGAGTATTGTATAGCTTTGATGTGTAATTTATTTTTTTTGCATATTTAATTACTAGTAATTAATGCGTAATTGATTTATTTATTTATTTTTTTTTTAAAATTTTATAAAATAAGCTATATGTGTAGTTGGTAGTCACTATACCGATTATTATTCAATATACGTTAAATTGCAATTTTAAATTAATATGCGTTATTTTGAAACTAACAGGAATTGTGAAATAATACATAATATATATACATGTATACAAGAAAACTAATACTCTTGAAATTGTTTGTATATGCAAGTTAATAAGATAAGATCTACAATACAAAAATTATTATTATTGCTCTTAATCTTAAAAACAGACTCATTAACTTGATATACTATTCTGCTATAATATCTGTTAATAACAAATTGAAGTTGCTAAGTAGTTGTAGATAGTAATATTGCTTGGATTGAAGAATATATCATATAATAATTATAATAAAGTATATTGATCCTGTATATAAATAAAATAATTGTGTCAAATAGTTCTACAAGATGCTTATTATATAACCAAGAGTTTTAAGACTTAGATATATTAAAAGTAAGATGATCAAATTTATTTTGAGAATATTTGCTAAAAGTCTATATTGCAGGAGGTATTTTATTAAAATAAATAAAAGTCTTCTCATATAAATCAAAAATTTTTTTTATTATTTTGTCAAATACTTCTATATGCAATACCTTAGCCGCAGCCCAGATTTTATTTTCAAGCTTTGTTTTGAATTTCATGTTAATATTTTTTTGATATACTATATATAATATATATGAAAAATATTAGAAAGTTTTGTTTATATAGTATTTGAAATACTCTATATATAATTATAAATATTAATTTTTTAAACTGTAGACTTTTTCAGACAAAATTGTCTAAAAAATTATTATAAATATAGTTATAATCTATTTTTTTAAATTTTAATATATTTAAATAATTTTTTTTTGATAATATTTGAAAATAAGAATTATATTATAGCAGTATTTAATTTTATATTATAAAAAAAAAGTCTTAGTTACTTATAAGATAAAAATA